TTTAATGATTTGATGATTTAGTAATGATTTGATAATCATTATAAATGATTTTATAATAATTATTTAGTTATATTTAGTAATTTTTATAATAATGATTTAATACTAATGATTTAATAATTATTACTAATAATTATAGAATACTACAAATGAGTGTACAAGTGGATTACTGAGTTTAAATTTATACATAGTCGAATTTATTAATGATTTTAAATATTTAATGATTGATACTATGATTTACTAATTATTATCAATAAGGATTTATTGTTAATATTTAAATATTTGATACTAATGATTTAAAATACTTGATTTACTAAATATTTAATTATTTGATACTAGTAATGATTTGATACTAAAATCATTGTTAAGGTTAAAAAAACTAGTCTAATTTCAATAAATAATTTGTAATAAATAGCAAACGAGTTTACAATTGTTGTCGATGCCGGGGTGTGTTGAATGATAATGTCGGGCGGATGTCTGATACGTTGTGCCGTTGTGGCTCAGGAGTATTGTACCCCATCCCCCTCATTCATTGGGGTATTTGAACTGTCATGTGTTCAAAGTCATACGTCGACGAAAACGTAGGAGAATAGATGGGTGCCTCAGGCTGCACAAACTCTGGTATGTATGACGGGACAGTAGAATCATCAACTGCGTGATGCAACGATTGTGGTGCGCTATTATCCACATCGGTCATTTGCTTCAGGTTGTAGAGATGAACTCCCACTCCCACTCGTAGAGAGTATTCATCTTTACCAATCTTTTCTTAAACCTCAAAATTTTCGCCTCTCTACTATTGTTGTGAGGAACGGCTTTCCATTATCCAAAAAATAAGCAAGGTAGTAAGTCTCAAAATTAAATCGTCTTGAATGGCGTCAAGAGTTGGAATGAATGAAGCCCTATTGTTCCAAGCATTAATGTAGGTTGCATGCTTCTCAACCCAATTAACGCTTTCTTTACGACGACCATCAAATCTGTGCAGGTCGTCATGCGTCTCAACCCAATTCACTGGACGACGACCATCTAAGTTTTGGAGGAGGTCATGATCCCAGGACTCCGCGAATAGGTTGGTGGAAGTGGAATTGCCTCAGTACTCTATCCCCAAATTGGATCTCAACAAAAGCAAAATTGATCAATGGTGTAACAGCACACCAATATGAAACCCATCTAAAATATCGTGCGGTATCAACGCAAATAATTCTTCATTCATGTAGGTCTCCAATTAAACTGTAAAATTACAAAACAATAATTGATTTAAATCAAATATATAGTTAATTTAAATAATAATTAAAAATACAGCTTATGCATACCTCCTTTTTGGCCTTAATGTCGATCTTCAACCTGAACTCTTTAATGTTTTGTGCCAACCCTGTGCCTTCAATTTTATGCCTCCATCTGTATATCAATCAAAACAAAATAGAGACATTTTGTTCAATAATTTTAATCAAAATAAATATTTTTTAATTAATATTTTATATTAAAATAGAGGATTCATATTACCTTCCGGCAAGTGGAAAGTCAACCGCAGTCCGACTAATCGGTGTCAAAAACAGAAGTCTATGCCAAGCCCATGATTGTAGCAGCAACAGACATCCACCGATTTCTACTGTATTATTATCATTCACGACTAATGACGCCTTGCACATCTTCACGATACAAGAACGCCAATATCGTCGAACCCCATATTGCCTACAATTCTCAAAATTTGTTAAAAAAGAAGATACTGAGTGTGAACATAACTACCGATTTATCAGGCATCAAATTCCCCCAATCAATTGTATATAATGCTCGTGTTGCATATATATTTCGTGCTCCGTACTATTTGGTTAAGTTGAAATTCATTCTTCAACCACCACCTCTCACTCTGGTGGTACGGGCGCTTCCCAACAAGTTGCAAAGTTGTTCCACCTTATTAAACTCATGTGACATTACCACCGCATCCCGTTAGTTTTGACCCTCGAGTTGCATTGCCACATCCTCCAAAGTTTCGTGCATTCGCCACACTGCAATGAAACGTGTGCGTTTCTGGTCTCCAACGTTCATCACGCACTGATCAAACCTGGGACCAACTTGTAATCTCGCACAAATGTTTATACCAAATCCAGCCTCTTGCAAATTTTCTTCTATCAGTGGGTGTGGCTTGGGCACTTTATGTAGTCGAAGACGAAGGACTCGCTGCTCGTCCTCCTAATTAAATATTTCAAAAAAATTATCACAATCATAAAATAATATTCAAATATTTATTAATTATAATTCATAACAAATATTTTATTCACCATTATTCCCAAATGACTTGAAATATGCTCATTGTCAAGCCTCAACAGTGGATTTGGTCAGCCATTGGAATGAATTTGTAAAAAAAATTAAACAACAATATTTAAAAATCATTTATATAATCTAATATAAAACTAACTAATTTACACACACTAAACTTTAATAAAACTTATAATAATAAACTAATAAACTAACAAACTAAACTTTTTTAAATATAAGTTAAACGTAACGCTAAACCCTTAACAACTAATAAAATATTCTTTTATATAACTAAAACTAACTAATAAACTATTTTCATTATAATATACTAATAAACTTACTAACTAATTTTTATATAAATAAATTCAACAAACAAATATAACTTAACTATTTAACTACAAACTAATTAAATAATTTTTTTATATAACTAACTATTACAAAACAAACTAATTAATTATTTTTTAACTATATAACTATCAAACATATACTAATTAAATAATTTTTAATTTATGTATACTATAACTTAAACTAACAATCATATAACCCTAACTAACAAACTAATTAACTGCTTTTTGTTTTACCCTAAACCCTAAACTAACAAATAACATTTATAATAATAAACTAATTTAAATATAAAAAAATTTACCTTATCTCCCTCTCTTCTTCTTACTTTCCTTTCCCTTTCTTTCTTTCTCGGCTGCAATCTCTTCTCCCTTCTTCGGCTGCAATCTCGGCGACCAAGCTGGCTGCAATCTCTTCTCCCTTTCTTTCTTTCTTTTATGTTCTCACGATAATGCACACCCATATAATTTAGGTGTCACCGATGCCTCAATTATTTCACCAATAATTGTGCAATTGCAGCTATGATAGCAGCTGATTTCACACAGCAATGGTTCAATAATTGTACCAATAATTCACGGCTCAAATGGTTCACAATGCATGCATCAATAGCTGTAGGCATGCACGGGAGCAGGAGGGAGCACGTGAAGGAATCTCAGTTGTGGCATGTGCATGCATGAGGTCTCGTGAGCTAGGACTACATGGCGACCTACTTGGTCGCCGGGACTACATGGCGACCTATAAGGTCGCCGGGACTACATGGCGACCTACAAGGTCGCCCAGACTACATGGCGACCTCTCCATTGGCTCGTATATGGCTTGTATGGCTCGTATTCGTATGTCACCCCGTATGTCGCCCGGATTGCATGGCGACCTATGGCCATCACTGTAGAATTCACCCCATTTCAACAATTAATCTGGGATGTGCATTATCTCGTGAATAAAAAAGTTCGAGAACATTATCTCGTGAATTCACCCGGTTAAGTTAGGACAGGTCTGGGTTTGATAAATCAATTTTATTTGAGAAACGTATTTTTTTATTTGAGTCTAGAGATTTTAAATTATTAAATTAGACTTATTTTTAATAAAATTTTGAAGTTAAAACAAGTCAAGCTAATATTATATATCAATATTTTCAAATGAAAAATAATATAAAAGTTTGAATTTTATAAAAATAAAATATAAAAACTAATGTTATTAAATAATACGACGGCCTAACATTTTTTAATTCTCGCCATATATAATTTACTAATTAATTAATTTAAATCAAATAATACAGAAACAATAATGATTTTCTAAAATTATTTGTTAGATAATTCTTAATAATTTTATATTAAATATTCACACTCGGAATTCGAACCAACAGAGATAAAAACATGAAGGAGACTTAACCTTTTAATTTGGCGTTCATCTGGCCTTCCATTAGGATAAGCAAGTCTACCCAACAAGTTCTTCTCAATATATTTACGCATCAAATATTCAAGTCTCCTATTCTGAATCCACGGCTCAAACACCTGCAAATCATTTTCCCCAAACTATCACCTGGATTCTTCATCAATTATAAAAATCTTTACGTACCTGACAAGTGCAGTAACCGGCTAGCAAAGCAAACGAAGTGAGAAGAGAAATCAGGACAATGGCACGCTTTGCAGAACTTAGAATTTTCGCCAGCTGAAGAATCAGAAATGGAATCATGGAGAGAAGCATGATCATTGCACTGTACTTAGTTTCCGCATCGGTTCTCACACCATAACCTGCTCAGATATGAAAAAAAAAATAACCCATAAAAGTTGTTTGATTATAGGACAATTTCAAGAAAGGGACAAACCAGTTAAACTGAAGGGGTGGTTGTTTGAAATATCATAGCTGTCAAAGTCAATGACAGAAGGCCAGATTAATGTAAGCATCATAATGGTTGATCCTGCGAGTATTGCCATGGAGATTGTTTCCTTTGTTTGAGCAGTTTCTTCACTTGTTGAAACTCCATGAACTAGAACCAAGATAACTTGTGGGAAGAAGCCGAGAACGTTGAACAAACTGGCACCAAAAATACCAGTTACGAACATTTGAAAGAAGAGATTAGAGCCGCTGGAAATAAAGTGTTGCGAGAGGGATAACAGATACTCATAAACCACCAAAAGGAATAGTTGCCCCCATGGCTTTGTTGTGCAAGGTAAGAAGCCGTAAGTCGGCTCACAGGTCACCGTTGTCGTACGAAGATGAAGTACGAGAAGCCAAGGTTCCTTTGTTCGATCCATGCCGTCGGAGACAAGATCGGCTTTCTCTTTAACGGGACGACTACTTCCATTACTGATGATTAAGATGAGTAGAATGGCTATTGTTTTCTCAGGGAGGAGCATTGTTCTGTTGCTGGAGCAAAGAAAACCAGCTAAAACGAAGGAGATGATTCTGGAAATTAATTCAAACTAAACAGGTGGACGCGGAGATGTTAAACTACACACCTAATCCAACTGCCCGTTCATAAAAATGCAAAATGCTACCGTAAGTTCAAAGACAGATTCATTTCATCCACTGAAAAACCAACACAATAAGGTAATAATTTGACGGATAAACTTGGTATTTATTACGTAAACTATTAATTTTGATTTATTTTATTTCTTAAATTTTCAATTTTTTTTAAAATTTTATATTCAGCGTTTAGTTTTTATTTTATTTTAATACTACCCGGTCAAAAACTTAATAAATTTAATATTTAATCTATCAGTTTTGATCAGTTTTAATATCTAAACTTTCATTCTTTTCAAAACTTCGCAGAGATTATTAAAATAAAATAAAAACTAAAGTTTTTAACAGTAATACTAAAATGAAATAAAAACTAAACTTTAAGTATAATTTTAAAAAATTAAAAATTTAGATATTAAAACAAATAAAAACTGATAATTTATATACTAAAAATATAATTTACCCTTGATAGAATAACAACCAAGTTCTCAACAATTCTAGGTTTATGATTTTAAAATATTTTAGTAGGAATAATTATCATGTTTATCATCGGTAGAATAAAAGAATAAAGTGGTTTTTATAATATTATTATACATCTATTACTAGATGTTTAGATATTCGATTTCTGATTTTACAAATAGAATAATTAAATTAAAAAAAAAAGTTAAATTACAATTTCTTTAACGTATAACTTCAATTTTTTATAACATTTTTCTTTATTTTAGTTTAATCTGAACATAATTGAAACAACTCTAAAATTAGATTGGCAAATTTAACCCGAATCCGATTATCCAAACTGATTTACCTGACCCAATACCTAATATTAACCCGAATATGATAATTAATTTTGATCTGATATCAGACCCATACCTAATCCGAACAATACTCGACACTAAAATTTAGCGAAACTGAAAGTAACCTAAATTAAATTAACCTGAACCAAAACAAAATTAACCATAACCGAAAGAAACCTGAACAGAATCTTAACTCGATCCGAAAGCAATCCGAACGAAATTTAACCTGACCCAAAAGCAATTAGAACATAAATTAATATGAAATGAATAATAAATTAATTTAAATAAAATTGATAATTTATTAAAAATATTATATTTATAATAAAAATAAGAGAAAGTTTACTTATGTTATTACATAAGAGGAATATAAAAGTAAGAATCTAATTGTAAGATTGAAAAACAATAATAAATAAAGTTTACTTATCTTACTTGTAATAAAAATATTAGATTTATAACAAAAATAATAGAAAACAACTAAAACAAAGGAAATAATATTAAATTTAAAATAAAAATTATATAAAGTTTAGTTATGTTACGACTAAAACTTAACAAATAAAATTATGTATTATATTTTAAAATTTAATAACAAATTTAAATTTATAATTGGAAATAATTTTTTTAATAAAAAATGTATTTCTTTATCAAATTGTTCTCATTATAAACTTCTCATACAAATCAATATAAAATTTTAATAACAAATTCTAACATGCATTATAGGTTCGTATTTGTGTCTAATTATCGATTTATCATCTCTAAATGATGATTTAATTCAAAAATATTGAACGATTGAGAATTGAAATTAGGCCTAAATGATAAGATTAACAAACAATACATATTTTTTTACAAGAATATATCAATAATTCTATATATACTTGATAAATTCATAACCAATTTAACTCGAATTGGCCTGATCTGAAAGTTGACCTAAACCAAAAATCAATCGATCCAATATTGACTCGACCCGATATTAAACCGACCCAAAATCTAACCGATCCGATATTGACCCGACCCAAAAATCAACCGATCCAATTTTGATCCAAACCGAAAAACAACCAATCTGATAATCACCCGACCCAAAAATTGACCTAACCCCATACCCAACCCGATCTGATATACCTACACCCGAACTATATCCGATCCGACCCGAACAAAATTAAACCGAATATAATCTAGACATGAAATAACCCGACTCGAGATGACCCGACCCAAACCCGATCCGAATGATTGTTTGCCACCCTATCTAAACTTCATACTTTTCATTATTTCCTCGATTATTTTATTCTCAAAATGTCTTCTTTAATGAAATAACATTGCACATAATTTATTAAATATTATTACAGATCTTACTTAAAATCGTGAAAAAGAATATAAATATATTAGAGAAAATCATTTAAACTAAATCAATCAGTACTACAATATATGAGTTCAAAGTGCAGAGACAAGCATAGGAGGACATATAGAAGCCTTCGAACCTACCTGCACAGCTAGTCGCCTTGGTTGCGTGCAAGCTATAACACGCCCACCATCAGCCCAACCAGCTTCTTTTAGAAACTGCAATTCAAGCATATTGAAATCAATATTCCCAGAAACGAAAAGAATCAGAATAAACTTCAAATAACAAATAGGGCGGTAATTAAACAGCTAAAAGGGGGGAAACCTGTGGGATTTGAGTGGTTTTACCACTGCCAGTCTCACCAACAACAATGGTAGTAGCGTGAGCTTCACCAAGTAAAGAATAGCAGTTCTATACTTGTAAACTGGAAGCCTCTGTCTTTGTTTCTCAATGCTCGCGTAGCCATAACTGTAAAAAAAAGGAAAACAAATCAGGAAGAGAACAGACAAAATAACAATCAAAGAACAACAATTTAATGAAAAGAATGGGAGAAAGATACCCAGAAGAAGATAAAGAGAAGGAAGATGCCAAGAAAACAACGCCGCCATCCTCGTCCTCAAGGAGGCGCGGCTTCTCGGTTCCCGGTTTCCAGAACTGCGCCATCGTTTTAAGCTCCGTGTGTTAATTTTCCTGATTCAAAGGAAGTGGAACCAAAAATTCAGAAATGTCTCCAGTGTAATTAACAGCTACAAACGGGCTTCTATTAAGCTTTGCTTTCGTGTTGTTTTAGGGTTTTCAGCCCAATAATGATTGGGTAATTCTTAGAAAACTGTTAACACCCAATTTGAAAAATAAAATATTTTAAAGAAAAATTAGGCCTAAATTCCATTCTTTTAAGCAGTAAGCCCAAATCAATTGAAACCCCAATTCTTGTTCAAAGAAAAAGAAATCAATTGAAACATTATTTTTTTAAAATTTCACCCAATGTCCTCAAACTATCATTTAAACTTTAAATTGATTCTTAACTTTAAAGCATTTTAATTGAATCCTCAATGTATTAGTATTGTATCATCACATTCTTTCGTTTGTTGAACCGTCAATTTATGGGATAGATATAAGTTTCAAATTGACATGAAATATAGATAGAGTTTGTGGATTAAACTGTAAATATATGTGCTTCTATCGTATGGACAATTTAGACTTGGTATAAAAAGTCAATCTCAATTAAAGTTTAGGTATGGTATTTCTTCTTTTTTCCAACATTTTAGTTTCAAACCATCCACACATTAGGTGTATACATACATATTTATGATTTTATTCACATATTTTAAATACATTTCATGTAAAATTTGAGCAAGGGTTTAACGTATGGCTAGGTTAATGCTAATTGATAGGATACTACACTTAGAAAACTCAATAAACTATTTTGAAGTTCATGGAAGGATGTTCTACTGAGTGTAGCTAGTTGATTAGGCTTTGCTTGTGCCACACCAGTAGTTAGTTATACAATTTAGGATTGGTTAGAGTTGTTAGGTTTGTTAGATCCTTGTCAACCAATTTATGGCTACTGCATCTCTTGTATATATTACTCAGTTCTCTTTGAGAATGTTACGGGTTTTATTAATAAAATCTATGAGAGTGTTGTCTCTCTTTCCCTCTTTTAGCATGGTATCTTTCGCCTTCGAATCTTTTAGTGTTCTTGATGTGTAGCTCTGTTTTTTGTTATCGGTTTTCTCGTTGTTGGTTTTCCATGGCTGAGTCGTCTTCTTCCTCAGTTGTTGTCCAACAACTGCCTAAATTGGATACAGTGAAGCTTTCAGAATTTCATTCTTTGGAAGCATCAAGTCTTGTTGATTGTTGATGGTTATGGTATTCTGAAACACTTCGGAAGATATGCAGTCTCCGGAGGAGTTTGTTAACATAGATGAGGGAATTTTGGTTGAAAATCCTCAGTTCTTGGTTCATCGACAGCGGGACAAGTTGCTGGCCTCGTGGCTTCTCTCGACTGTCTCGTCAGACGTTCTTTCGCATCTGATTGACCTCACAACCATTAGTGACATTTGGCAGGTCGTTTCCAGACTTTTTGGAGCCCACTCGAGTGCTAAGATATCTGCCTTAAGGAATTCTCCTCATTCTTAGAAGAAGTGTGATCTCTTAGTGAGTGGATTCTTAGCTACGATCAAACTTATTTTTGATAAATTGTTTGCGGCTGGTTTTATTGTCACTGAACAAGAAAAGGTCAGTGTTATTCTGGTGGGTCTATCTGTTGATTTTGAATCCGTCATCGTCATTGCTTCGAAGGAGACGGCTTCTTTGTCCACTATGACTGACATGCTTCTTGATTGTAAAGCAAGGCATAAGGATTTTTTTAATAATAGTGCGTTGATCCAGCCAAAGATGATGGATATTCCGGGAAAGGCTCCTCTGATTCTCGGTTTTCTTCTGGTGTTCAAGATACATCTCACGACAGCCGCTACGGTAGCAACGGTCGTGGCCTTGGTCAGTTGAATAATCGACCGCAATGCCAGTTGTGTGGGAAATTTAGTCATCTGTAGGGACCGTCAGCGCACCTATATGATGCAGCGGAAACAAAAAGAATGACGGTCTCATCAGCGATCCAAGTATATTAAATCCAAAACCGGAAAGAAAAGATGTGATTACTTACATTAGGTTACTTGAAAATCAGCAAATATAGCAGCGACTAATGGAAATCACAGCAGTTCGAATCCTAACATCCACGAAAATTCGTCTCGGCCTCTACTTAGTTCACAAGGTTGAATAGTTGTTAGCGAAACCTTTTCTAAAAGGGTTCTAGAAATTTCAGGATTTTTCAAAAGTCATAAAACGGCTGCTAGACCAATATATCACTTATATATGTGTCACCTTAGCTATTAAGGCTTTTTAAAAATTCCCAATTTAATTGGGAGTATAATTACTTTAATTATGTTATTAAATTTGATATTCTTGTGCAATTAAAATTACTCATATATATATATTAAATACACAATTTATTCATGTACAATCAAATTGTACATATGTGACACATTTATGAGTTGTTCTATTTTCAACCATTGGATGCGACCCTGTAGGTTCCTGTAACGTTAGTAGTAATAATTAGAACTATTCTAATATTACAAACAATGAGTGACATCTAGCAATTTGTCATTGTTACCTAAGTTATGGGAAGTCATGATTCGACATAACATGTCCGTGACTAACTCTTTTAATGTATTAAATCCTTTTGTCCTTTATATCTAGAATAGGCTTAAGTCTTGGAACAGTCACACTTATGTAGCCCATCTATTATTTCTTGATATCTAGAGTAGACTATAATAAACAAATAATTTTTGATATCTCATATCAACTTATTCGAGCATGGCCATGCATTTCTAGTCTCACTCAATCAAGTGGCCTGTGATATATTTCCTATTATGTAGGAAGGACAAATCTTATCTCGATCATTTACACCCTGCTACAAATATCGTGATATATTCAATGTAAGTCTTTATAGTGCAACTAGTTATGGTGCACGCTTAACTTTATCAAAACATACAACAATATATGTTGAGATTGTAATGATCTCAAGTCTAAGGATTATACATATAGTTGTCACTATGAGCAATATCGTGACCATCACATAATAATCCAAGACATATGCTCATAGCGGGTCAATCCAATAATTTGTTCTCTAACAATATATTCATGTATTAATTTTGACATCTCTATGTCAATGACAACTCTTTGTCATCAATCAATACCATGTTAGTCTTAAGCGTATTATTACTGTCCATGCCCATAATAATATCTGACTAAGGATCTTTTAATAATAATCACATTAATATACATACATTATTATCTTTTAGATTATTCAATGCATAGAAATACAATAAAAGAAAATAACGGTAATGCATTTATTTGATAAATACTGTAAATAAAATGTGTCAATATAATCATCATATGATTGGTCTTTGGGCATACTCTAACAATCTCCCGACCAATCACTCACATATTTAATATAAAGTGACTCAGTGTAACGATTATGGTTCTGCTATGACAGAGGCTTCGTCAAGGGATCAATAATGTTTCCATCAGTGTGAACTCTGCATATCTCCACATCTCCTCGATCTATGATCTCTCGAATGAGATGAAAACGCCTAAGAATATGTTTGGATTATTGATGAGATATGGGTTCCTTTGCTTGTGCAGTGGCTCCATTATTATCACAAAGAGTTCTATAACATATGATATGCTAGGAATAACCCCTAGTTCAAATATGAACTTCTTGATCCAAATAACCTCTTTTGTTGCTTCACTGACTGCAATATACTCAGTCTCTGTTTTAGAATCAGCTATTGTGTCTTACTTTGAACTTTTCTAGATCAAAGCACCTCCGTTAAGACAAAACACAAAACCCGATTGCGATCATGAGTCATCCTTGGTAGTTTGAAAGCTGGCATTAGTATAACCTTTTACACTGAGATCTTATTCGCCTCCATAGACAAGAAATGTATATGCAGTTCTTCTCAAGTAGTTAAGGATATTTTTAACTGCAAACCCATTGATTTTCACAAAGGTTTCCCTGATACCGACTCGTCATGCTCAAAGCATACGATACATCTGGTCGAGTATATATATCATGTCATACATGATGGAACCAATAGTTGAAGCATATGGAATCTTATTCATTCGTTCCCTCTCTTGTGGGGTTGAAGGACACATTTCCTTCGAAAAAGAAATAACACGTCTCATAGGAAAGAATCCTTTCTTGGATTCTTACATACTAAACCTTTTCAACGCTTTGTCTATATATGTCATTTGACTCAAACCTAGAAGTCATCTAGATCTATCTCTATATATCTTAACTCCTAAGATGAACGATGTTTCACCCAAATCTTTCATAGAAAAGCAACTACTTAACTAAGCATTAATAGACTGTAAATTAGGTGTATAATTTCCTATGATGAGTATGTCATCTACATACAAGATTAGGAAAGAAACAATGCTCCCACTATTCTTCTTATAAACACAAGGTTCATCTTGTTTTTGATAAAACCAAAATCTTTGATTGCATTATTGATAACTCCGTAAAAAGACTTAAATTCTAGTCTTTTCACTTAAGTTATTGCTCGTCTAAACAAAGTATGCACTTCATTTTTAGTTGCATTTAGTTACATATAGGTTGTGATGGATAAGTTTTGCCTAGGCAAAATTTATTTGGCTTAACTGATGCTGTTGAGGAGAAGGGGTTGTTTGAGTTGTGTTTGTGCAGGAATTCTACAGATGAAGAACATTTCAATCGTGACAATGAAAAGTTGAAAAGTCCAATGGAGCATATGAGAACATGAGGAGCATATGAGAACATGAGGAGCAGATTTATCTCGTCGAGGCAAGATTTATCTGAAGAGGTCTTAAGCAAATGTGGCAAAAGCGCCTATGTCACATGCCAGCTGGATGAACTGCTTCACGTGTAAGCAAGCCTTTAATATCTTGATAACTGCCACCCGTATTTCCTTTTTAATTTTGGGAAATTAATAACGACTAATTAAGGAAACTCCAAAAGCATGCAAAGCCCTACGAGATTCTCCTTATAATTACCAGCAGTATCCGCAAAAAGAAAAGGAGGCAAGGAAGAAAAAAGAAGAGCTTTACCTTAGGCGTGAGCAAGCAACTGTAGTGCTTTCCCTCTGTCTACCCCCCTAGTCTTCCTTGGTGTCCTCCATAGCCAGACGATAGCAGAGCTGTGATCAGGCC